GATAAGATGGTCTTGTAACCAAATACGGGTTCGAAAGTTGGTTATACAAGGGGAAGATATTAGCACCCCTCACATTCGTTGTACTCAACAGGATCCACTTTGTTTGTTTGTTTCTAAGGGTGTTGTTATCTAAATGCTTACTTGCTAAGAATGTAAAAATGAGTTAATTGGAAAAATAAAAAGGGTTTTATTGTTGAGTTCGCCAAGGTCTTGTAACTCTGTGCATACATATCCTCATAGTGCAATGAAGAAATCAGAACTCTGTAGTTTGTGAAATTCTAGCACTTTAAAAAAAATGTCAAGACTGATGTCCTAACAACAACACAATGTCAAGACATATGTTATGACATCATCTGCTGACAGAAAAACACTTTCTAAAATAGGGGATTATACATAAAGTAAATTGCAGAAAAATAAACAACACAATCAATTATTAACCTAACTCGGTGCAACATGACCTACTCTGGGGGCTACCAATGTAGGAAGGAAATTAATTATGATATTATTAGTTCAAAGCTAAACCAACCCTAGTTTACAACTTATCACCTAATCCCTACATTGTGAAACTTCTACCTAGAACCCTCTAGATATGAGATCCCCCTCTCACTTCCTACCAATCACCTCAATGGTAAAACCTGTCACAAACCCGTGACAAAAAACCAAAGAACCAGATAGAAGATTATACTTCAAATATAATGTAAGTACGAAATGCGCCTAAGAGGGGGTGAATTAGGTACTTAAATTTTTTTATCGGTTTTTAGTTAATATTTGGATTATTTTTCTGGTTTATGTTGAGTTTATGAAAGTAGTAAAGTGTAGAAAATAAACGACACAAGGATATATCCTGGTTCCCCTCACAGTCCAAGAGTACTCCAGTCCCCTTTCAATGAAAACTAAGTGCAGAAAATTTCACTAAAAATTATGGTTTTATAAACACTTAAATTTTGAAAGATGAGATGATTAGAAAATGTTAGAGTTGTAGATTAAAAGAGTGTTTTGAAATCTAAAATAGTAGAGTTTTTATATCATCTATACACCTCTACAAAAGAGCATAATCAATGAAAGAATGCAATGGTTTAATTTCAAGAGAAACAAACATTTCAAATAAAAAGTTTCAGAATTTTGCCTCTGTTCAGTTGGGTAACCGGTTACTGCATATTGGGTACCCGGTTACCCCCTGTAACGTTACAAAAATATTTGAATTTTGTTCAGGTGTAACCGGTTACTGCATATTGGGTACCTTTTAGAAAAAGCCTGGGAACATGAGAAAAACATAGGGTAACCGATTACAGCAGGAAGGGTAACTGATTATGTGCAGCATGCCTTCTACCCCCTGCAATAGTAGCGAAATTTTATTTACCCCCCTTTTAAAAAAAAATCTTTTCGCCCCTCAACAAACATAGATTCCATAACCAAAAACCTTTTAGTCAAATATTTCATTTGAAATGCAGATGTGGCCAGGATCTGTTTGTTGATTGGGTCATGTATGCCACCGTGGATTTTTTAAATATTTTTAATATTTTGTTTAATTGTATAAAATCTTTGCATTGTTAAAAAATATGCATCAGTTAGGTCTCAATCCCTACACCCTCTACTTGCAAGCCATGCACTCATCCACTACATTAATTGTTTCAGTTTGTATATTACTTGCTTTGAATGCTACTTTAATTGTATAACAGTATTTTATTTTAAATAATTATAAAAGTATTTAATTACAACCACTTATGACTTTTGAGGACACTTTAATAGTACATTAATCCTGCATAGAAAAGTATTGTTTTCTTGTCAATCACATGATTTTCTTTGTTAGACAAAACCAAGTAATGTTTAAGTTTTTCTTATCCTTGATTCTAAAACAATTATCATTTTTTTGTTTTTAGTTTAAATTTGTAATATCGGAGAGCTAAAATCAAATATTCTATATATGTTAGTGTCCAAATTCAATAAAATCAGTTTTGAAAATTCCATGACAACGAACCATACAACAAGAAAATTCCAATACATACCTGCAAAGACACACATAAAACAGTTTTGTTGAATATTAGTGGTCACTTACGAAAAATAAAGTTCACCATATATCATAATAACATGAAGCAATCATCTCAGTGATGGATTTCATCAATTATACAAACCTCTATTTCATTTTGATCATTCTATGTTTTCTAGATGTGTGTGTTTCCATAGACACAATTACATCAACTAAGTTTATAAAGGACCCTGAAGCTCTAAGCTCCAACAGTGGTAAATTCACCTTTGGCTTCTTCAGTCCTAAAAATTCTACAGATCGCTATGTTGAAGTTTGGTGACAGCCTCAGTTCATAGTCCTATGAGTGCTTAACAGAGATCAACCACTCAAAGATTCTTCTGGTGTTGTTATAATATCTGATAATGGTAATGATCTTGTGGTACTGATTGGAAAGAAAGAGGTGATATGATAATTTTAAATACTATTATAATTATTCAAAATAAAATACTGTTATACAATTAAAGTAGTACTCAAAGCGAGTAATATACAAACTAAAACAATTAGTGCAGTGGTTGAGTTCATGGCTTGCAAGTAGAGGGTGTAGAGTTCAAAACTCACTTGATGAATATTTTTTAACAATGCAAAGATTTTATAAAATTAAATAAAATATTAAAAAGTATTAAAAAAAGCCACGGTGGCATACATGACCCAGTCAGCAAAGAGATCCTGGCCACGTCTGCATTTCAAATGGAATCTTAGACAAAAAGGTTTTTGATTATGGAATCTACGTTTGTTGAGAGGCAATTTTTTTTAAAGGGGGGTATATCAATTCTCGCTACTATTGTAGGGGGGTAGAAGGCATTTAACCTTTTTTTAAAAAACTTTAAAAACTTATTTGAAACTCAATTTTTTCAACCAAAACATGTTCAATGACCATGCAAAATGTGAACATATCATTATGAACACTTGTATGTATATTTTGAGAGTTGAATGTTTATACCTTAGATAATATGATCAATCAAATGATAAAATTCTTCAAGACTTGGATAATTCTTTAAATTTGATATGCTAGAAGTCTTGAGCCATTCCATTTTGCAAACCTTCTATGTTAGCTTGTCTTCATCAAAACAAGTTGGGAAGCTTGACTTCACATACAATACTTAGTTTTGCTTAAAATCTTTAACTAAGAACAATATTCAACTCTTTGCTTAAAATCTCATGAGTGAGAACAATCAGTCCACCTCAATGTATCAGAAGATACATGAGTGACATACAAAGAACAAAAACATAAAGAACTTAAGAAACTCCCAAAACCCTAAACTCTTATATTACACCCACCATTTTCTTGTTGTGAATGCTTGGTATTTTATGTTTAGAAAGTCCTTATTTATAGACTCTTGCAGAATGGGATTGAACTCTTCAATCAAATTCAATCTTCACTTTTTAAATCAACTGCATGATCTTCACACAAAAATAGGAACAAATCTTCAAAATTTCATAAAAAGTCTCAAAGATCCTTTTTATGAAACCAAGTTAAATGTGCACGGTTTCTAAAATATCTTTGATTAGATGCGCTTGTATGAAAACTAAAATCATCCAAAATTTCATATTTTTCAATCAAATCTTCAAGGAAAAATAACAATGACGCCTGTTGTAAAGAAGGCCACGATGTCAATACATTTGCCTCAACATCTATCTGAAACATATGACAGCTGAACCTGTCATGACAGATGATCAAATTGTCGTGACATCTTCCTCAATATCAGTTAAGAACCATATTTTATCAAAAATTTTGTCAATCCTAAAACCATGGACCTAACAGTTCGTTTTGAAAATGTTGGTTTGTTGGGTATTTTTTATGGACAATGTTAACGTTCACGCTCTAGTAATAGGCATAACATGTATTACGGTAGAACAAAAATAACACACCCTTTTTGAAAAGATTTTAAAGGTAAAAATCCCTAATGGCAAAAATGCTTGGATTTGTTGAAGTGTTTTATTAGAAGATATATCAAATGGTCCCTCAAGGCTGGGGTTATTTGAGTATATTCTCTTTTAGTTTTGAAATTGTTTGAGATATGTATTATACTAAAGTCTATGAAATAAGGGTGAATACTTTGTACGAATGAGACAAGTGTCTCATGTACAAAACACTCTAAGAAGAGGTATGAAAGACTACCACTCATCTTTCCCTATTTGCTTAAGGCTCATGGCGTATTATGTGTATCATGTTTATTAAGTATTTTTTAATTTGATTAAGAAAAAATATTTTTGTCTTTTTAAAGGAAAAAGAATGCAAATGAGAGGAGTAACAAAAGGTATTTCTAGCCTAATGTTATAATGCAAAAAATGGACCTAAGATTGAGTTTGAGAGGAAAACCCTAGCCTAATGTTATCATGCATAGATGTTGACCTAAAATCTAACTCAACATTTAAGTGATGAAAAGAAAATTTAATCACCTAATAGAATAACCTAAGAGAACATGCAATTGGAGGCTCAAGATTATAGGCCAAGAAATCATACAAATCAATCAACAATATCCATTGTCAATTTTATTTAAACCATAACATACAAAATTGCATCAAAAGCATGGTAAAAATGTGAAGAAAGGTCATAAGGAAATGAAGAAATTAATAGAAAAAAATCGAGTTAAGTTCTAAAAGGTCTTGAAATCTATTAATAAATCCTACTGTTTTTTAGTGTATTTTTTATTTTCCAAAAAAATGTGAAAAAGAAAATTAAAACTAAAACTAAATCAAAAGGAAAATAGATGAGTCAGGGGGTGAGGATTGCTTCAGAATGTTTGATCCAGTAAAATAGTGTAGAGGCCCAAACAGTCCACAGTCACATTTTTGTTCAAGACATTGGGCTATGGGAAGTAGGCGCGTGGTAAGGCCCAGCAGGATCCAATCCAAATCACGTACCAACACATTATCCAGATTTCATTAATTCAATTTTTATTTCACTATTTTCATATTTATTATTTCAAATTTTAAAAGAATAAAAAACAAAAAAAAATAAATAAATAAACGGATGGTGAAACATTGCGTTGAAGATCAGAATCGTCGCCACCGCACTGGCACGCCTTACGGCGGCGGTCGCGGCGGTGTAAAGATCAGAATTACTAAACGAATATACCACCAGCTTCGTCTCCTTCTCCTATTTCCAAATCTCCTCTTCGTTTTCATCAATTTGTCTTCGTCTGCCCTAAATCTAAATAAACTTTCAAAATCCTACATTGAGAAAAATGAAATTAAACATCGTTGTCAGCTATTCAAGCCACGATTCCTTGGGGTTAAGGTTCAGGAGGCCTAAGCTTCATACCGGTAACGAGAAACATTAGAAAAGATGAAGAAGCAGAGGAGAAGACACTCCTTTAATTACTCGTTTTAGATTCCATTTTCTTTCTCTTCTTCTTGTTACTTCTGTGTAAGCGTAACAGAGAGAGATCCAGAGAGTTTGTGGTGGTGACGGTGAGGATTGAGAGAGTGCAGAGATGGAGCATGGTGTAAGATGAATGGAGGTTGTGGTTGAAGGTGATTGTGGATTGCAGAGAGAAAGAGATGAGAGGATGAAGGTGAAGGAAGATGAAAATGGAAAAAATGGTGTGTGGTTGAAGCTTTTGGAGGGAACTATAATATTTATAGTTTGAAGGTGATGATTAGGGATCATAGGATTGAAGAGAGTTTTTTATGGAATGGAGGGTGCAGATTGATTCAGTTACAACTGTTGAATTTAGTTAGGGATTCTGTTAGTATGAGTTGGAAAGAATTTATGGAGTTTTGGTTCTGTTACAAGCAGTTAGTAGAATTAGTTTTTTCCTGATCTGTTTTGTTCAGTTTAACTGTTTTGGTTGGTTATTGTGGTTTTCTCTTGAAATTGGTTCAATATGTTAATGTGGATTGGTTAATTGTTTTGGTCTTGTTGATATTTTCTGAACTGTTTACTTTGAATGGGTGCAGAGCTGAAGTTGTTCAAGCGGGCTCAAGGTTACTTCATGATTTTGTAATGGTGAGGGACTATTTATGTTATTATGCAGTGCTGCTTTTATTTTGTTATGTCAAGACCATTTGGTTAATTGAATGGTAAACTGTTTTTGTTAATTGCTCCAACTGGTATGTAACTGGTTTGGTGATCGTGATTTCTCCACTATGTCAGCAGGTTTGGTTGATGCAGTGGCTTTTTTGGTGTAGCAAGGACATGGTTTTGACGAGCATTTTGGGAGCAGGCTTTAAGAAGTTTGGATTGTTTACATGGCAGGTTTATGAAGCATGGTTTATGCAGCTTGTTGGCAAGGTTTTGAACATGGTGTTTGCATTGAACATTTGGCTTGTCATGACTTAGCTACCAACATGGAGTGAAGATGAATCTTGAAGCTTAGTGATCTTAGGTTCAAGACATTTTTGATGTAATCTTTCAAAATGTAATGGAATGGCGAAAATTTTGTAGCTTGTAAACTTTGAATGAAACTTGAATGAAGTTTGTTTAGATGCTTGAATCATGTATGAATGAAACTTGAATGAAGTTTGTTTAGATGCTTGAAATTTAGGATTTGAAATTTTGTAATTGAATGGATAATGATGATGATCCTTGAATCATGACTTTATATGAAGCCTTAAACCTTGATAACTTGGAATGGAAGAATAATGAAGTATGCTTTTGTTATTTGAATATCAAGAAAATCCACCTAATACATTCAATCTTGCATGAACTAAATCTGGACAACTTTGAACAAATTTTTAACTTAAGTCATCACTTGAATGAATACTTCAAACCATCTTCAAATCAATGACCTTATCTCAATTCTCAAATCCACGCCAATCCCAATCCAAATTAACTTGCATGACAAGCAACAAATAATGATATCTTGAGCACAAGGAACCTCTTTCCCCATATCTCTTGTATCATAGCACATACTTTTAGCAATTCAAACCATAAGTCCTTTGCCTTGAAACCCTAATCACATCTTCAATTGATGAATATTAACAAGCTCAACAATGAGGAGATGTACCCCTAATCTTCTTGCCTTGGATGCATATTGAATGAAGAAGTATCTTGCCATCAAAACCCTAATTCAAAGTGATCTAAAATGAAGCAATTATGAAACCCTAAGGATCTTGCCCTTTAAGGAACCTTAATGAAGATGAAAACCTTGTAGCTTGATGAGAAATAAGTTCTCAATGACCATGAATCCAAAACCCTAATTCCAAAATCCCCAATTGATGAATGAACCGATTGAATTAATCTTGAGTAAGATAAAAGCCCCAAAGCAATAGAGAAACCCTAAATCTTCAAGATCTTTGATCCCATGCCAAATTAATGTTTAATGATGCATGATGTGCAAAAATGACCTAACGGAAAGTGTTCTGGATTGGGCCAGCACTTGCCTCACTATTGGGGAGGCCCAATCCAGCGCCTTTGCCCAAGGCCCAAAGACATGCAACCCAAGCTGGAGACCGTTGGACATTTCCCCACGTGTCCGCTAGGAAGACGTTGTCCACATGTTCATATCGTCATCATACTGCCCTCTGGGAATCACGGGTCCAACACCTGTTTTCTCGGAGCAGTTGACCAGGAAGGAGGCCACGTGCTGGACTTTATACACACGTAAGCCTTGGCAGTCTTTGTTGTTGGGCCTCATCGTAGCCTAACATTGAAGACCTTGACCCAACGTTGGGGGCTATAAATACCCTCTCACAAGAAAGGGTCAGGTATTGATTCATTCACACTCTCATACTCACTTACTTGCATTAGCTTTGAACCTCACTTTGGCATCAGAGTGTCTTGCAGGTACCCCCCACTTCACCTTCCACTATTGCTCGGCTCGAAACTTGAAGGCTTTGGCAATCCCTTCTGGTCAAGTACGGTCAGTGGTGTCGTCTGTGGGAAACCAGCTTCCTCGTCTCCATCTCAAGACTAAAGCAACCCTCCCACAAACTCCGTGATTGTCATGGCCGACCTAGCTGCCAACAACAACCAAAACGCCCATCTCGTCGACCTCAACAACAACTTCGACGATAACATTGGTAACATTAACGCCGAGAACGACATTGACATGGCCGATCTCGAGCAAAATTATAGAGACAGGTTGATCACCTCCTCGTCATCCGACTCTCAACCGCACGAGGATGTCCATCCCCCCCAAGAACTATGAACCAAATGCTTTCCAGGAGGTCCCCGTCCCCGCGGGCGCTGATGCCAAGACCAGAGCTCTGTTCACGCCCATCAACCAGACAAACTACCTAATCTTCTCACAGAGTGAGCGGTTAAGGGTGCTCGAACAGACTCGTCGGACCCCCAGAAGACACAGGAGACCTGACGCTCCTCCTCCCCGTCAAAACGATGGTCGTCCTCTGTCTCCCCCGCGGAGACACAAACTGGACAGAATGCAAAGCCTTTCTCCCCAACGAACTGGGCGAGGCCCCGCGTTGGAGAGGATGCAGCCCGAAGCCACCGGGAGGCGCAACCATACCCCCCGCACAGGGAACGACGATCCCCTGAAAACAGAAACAAGGAAAATGGGGAAACCCAACCTCGGCCAAGGGATCCTCCTCACGGCCAAGACCGTCGCCACGACCGCCATTACAACTGGCCCCCCTTCCACTCCCTGTATAGAAGTGATAAAGAAGACCCCCCCGGCCCCTTATCCCAAGCAATCATGGAGGCACCCATTCCTAGGGATCTGGATAAACCTCCCCAACTAAAGGAATACGACGACATTGTGGATTTGGTCGACCATATCGAAGGGTTCGAGGAAATGCTCCATTACATAACGTCGGGGGGGGGGGGGGGGGTGATCAAGTTCCGGTTGTTCCCCACGACCTTGAGAAAAAATGCGATGGACTAGTACAAGAACCTCACCCTAAGGTCGATCACCTCCTGGAGAAACCTTAAGAATTAGTTCATCAGCTCCTTCATCGTGTCTTGTCGACATCCAAAGACTAAGGCCGCCCTTGAGGCTATTATGCAGAGAAGCAACGAGACCCTCAGGGAATACATCAATCACTTCAAATGCGAGGCCATTCAGGTACCGTGCATCGATCACATGAAAATGTACCTGCTCGAGAGAGGACTCCTCCCGGGCACTGTGTTCAGAAAGGCCGTCGGCATTGAGCCGCCCCGATCTTTCAACGCTTTCCTCGAAAAAGCCAGAGCTTACTGTTTACCGTGGTTATTGGTAAACAACCGCTGATCCTCCAAATGGTTACTTATTTGGTTACTCGCAGGATCGATCAGATTGATCCTAAGACATGGTTGATTTTGAGGTTTTGATTAAGTTGGATAATGGTTAAATGACAAGAAAATAAAGAGGCTTTAAGTAAATTGCATGAAGAAATGGGCTTGATAAAATAAATGAAGGCTTGAAATAAAGGGCTTTGAAAGGAAAAGTAAAGAAGAAAGCAAGTAAAGTTTCTGGAAAATAAATGACTTTGATTAATAAAAGTGGTGTTTCACACATACATTCTCAACAATTCTTTCTCACACGCTGGGTACTCGAATCTATATGAGTGACTTTGTATATAATTGTGAACACACACGAAAAACTGCGTGAACTACTACTATTTATACTAAAACATCCCAAGTAACCGTCGGGCAGTTACACTGCTTCGAGATGACTCCACTTGGCACGTTCTCAGTGTTCGACGCTCCAGATCTTTGCACGTTGCACTTGGTAACCGCTGGAAACCGTTTTCCCTCCAAACGCTTGAATTTCAAACCGTTCCACTCTGAACAATCGAACACCTTCGTCGAGAAGCATCTTCGACGAGAAACACCTTCGACGTCGAAGGCAACCAACTTCTCCCTTGGAAGAAATCCTCTAAGTATATTGCCATCTTTCGATGGGCATTTCGACAGACCCAGCTGGTCGAAAACATCCTTCAGCTTTAATTGCTGATATTAATAAAAACAAGGGTGTCGAATTTAGGAGCCAACAAATTGCCCCCCAAGAATGCCTTATTTCGACTCTGAAAGAAAAAGGCATTCTTTGAAATGCCATTCGACACCTGTCTTTTCATTCTTAGTCACAAATTAAATTGTGCACTTTTTGTCTTCTACCAACCACTGACAATCCCAAGGAAAAGCCATCATTTCATCCGTACCTAAGACGTCACTTCAGTACGGCGTGCAGCGTGCCAAACGTCTTTTCACAAATTGTCATCATGACAATTCCCAAAAACGAGGGCGCACGCTGCACCCTTTCATTTCTGCAGAACGGCTACAACAACAGGGAGACGCCACGTGTCCCACTACCTTCTGCAACATTAAATGGCATTAAATGTCCTCGAATTTGGGGATTTCCCCAACTACTATAAATAGCGCCAAGTACCCATTGTGGGACTTTTTCACGCTACCTTGCCTTCAGATATTCCTTATTGCATACAAACTCTTGCAAAATTTGCAAACCACCTGTTCTTCACTTCATCTTTAACCTTAGTATCAACAATGGCATCCGGTTCTTCCGCCGCTCCTAGCTCTAACATCCCCTCTGGAAATGCTAAACCCAGGATTTTCTCCACTGCTCCCGTAGTTACTCCCACGGGCCAACGAAGGGTCCCTGAGCCCTTAGACATTGCTGTACGTGATGCTTATTCACGCCACCTCATGATTCCGGTTGGATATTCCAACCAAATCTTTGCCATGTCTGGCCCACTATACCCAGGCATTGCTGAAGCCATGAAGATCAAAAGCTACTTTCCGGTACTTGAAAAACTCAAACCGGTTGGATGCTCCAAGAAAGATGCAGAGGATAATGAAGATCCTGCTAAGGAGAAAATCGACCTTCGTTTCTTCAATAGAGGTGTTAGGGCTTTCAGGTCTAGCCCTAGCCTCACTCCCGACTATAGTGCTTGGCTGGAAAAAATGGAGAAACGCCAGGCTTCGATCTGGAAAGACATGGGGATATTCGACCTGGTTATGTTGTCGAAGACGGGTCTTAACTATTCCCCAGAAATGTTGATAGCTTCCTTACTCTTCTGGGATTACACCCATTTCACCTTTCATCTTCCCTGTGGAATGCTGACTCCCACGCTCTTCGACGTGGCCGCCATCACTGGCCTTCGACCCACTGGAGACTATTTCGACCCAGAGGAAATGTCGGAGGATCAGATTGGATTCTCTGCCACAAAACCAACCTACACCACCTACATCAATCACTACCACGATAAGTCGACGGACGCTGTGTCGGATGTAGAGCATATCGCGTTTCTAGCCCTATGGCTGTCACGCTTTGTGTTCTGCACCAAGTCTTTACAGGTGACCAAGAAGATGGTTACTCTCGCCACCCAACTCCACCATGGCCAAAACATCTGTTTGGCAGAATTGATTTTGGCGAATCTGTACGA